AGTCACTGTTAATAAGTGAGTCATTGCGATTGAACCGAATCATTTAAATGAGTGATTCATTCGGGAACGAAACAGCGTAATGTTGCTCAGAGACGCAAAACAGCGCTGTGTGGCTTTGTTTGGAATTATTTTTGTTGGCGAAATAGAGAAAAAACAGGCAATAGGGTATCTAAAACGTAAGTCTCTTAATAAAACTTCTAGTTTATTGAACTGTTGTAAAAAATCAGTATCACATTTGTATATGGTAATTTTTGGAGCGCGCTAGTAATGCGTGCCCTCTGTAGGTGTTTTGAATGTTTCTTTTGCGTCGTGAGAATATTGAGCAAAATAGCTCACTTGTCATGGTGTTATTTAACTATATCATGTTATGAATAAACGAAACATTTTGAATTTTTACCTCAGTGTGTTTCTTCTGAGTTTATGTGTGTGGTCACGCTCACTTGTTCTGAAGTCTCGAGACAAACAGAGTGAGCCTCAGCGCGAGTTTGTGTTCTGTATTCTGCTCACTTACTGCAGTTCTCTCTGGTGGCGCAGTAACTTACCGCGGGTCTGTCCAATGATTGTAAAGTCATTAGGTCCGTCAGACTGAAGATATTTTAGCGGTAATGAGACCAAAAATAATTAAGACCCATCGAATCCGAATTTAAGACATTTTAAGGCCTTATATTAGGAAAACGTTATTTAAGACTTTTTAAGGACCCGCGGACACCCTGAGCTTAAAATAGTGCAAACAAGTGGATAGCAAATAAATGATAACGCTAACGAAACATAAAGAAATACTCTTGTTACGCACAACATCTGTAGGATCGTTGAAGAAAGAAACAACCTAGATATTCAACACAAGAACATTTTATTTTTGATAAATGCAGATGTAAACATGAACGTCGGTGTGCTGCTGTGGGCTATGAACAAAACCTTTTTTGTTGCTTATCACAGGATGATGTTTACACATCACTTTATGTGAATCACGTGTCACATTTTATGAATCACCATTCACATTGCAATTTCAGGTTCAGACTGTGGAAATGTTTTTCAGTGTCAAGTATGAATAGCTTATAACGAAAAAAATCAGGCAGTTTTAACAAGCACCAGATCAGTTGAAAACAAACCAATTGACGTAAAACAAAGCCATACCTGCACACTTTGTAACTGTTAATATGTTTATCAATGCCTTATAACCCCAATAAAACATTGGCATTGGGAATAACACATAAAAAATACTGAATTTAAACAGCATAATACTGATTTGCACCTTAATTTGATTAGAAAAGAGAGTAAAATAGGTGAAAATATTTTTTTTCCACAAATGTACCTTACTCTTGTTTTTTAGTCACAGAGAATAATCAACTGATCAGTTTAGGTCGGCTGTGACAAAGTTTAGCACCCACTATTTTTGACTTGATTGTCATCTCCCTATCAAATCCAAATACCCCCTCTCAAAAAAACAAACAAACCTCAAAACATTTCATACAGAAGGCAGTTCAACTGCTAAACTTTTCTAACATTTTGTTCTTTTAGAAAATGTTCGAAATATAAAAAAATAATAAAACAGAAAAAATGCCTGAAAATCGAGCCAACAGTCTCTGTGAGATCCCAACTGGTGGGCGCACATGGATATTCAGCGAAGCTGGGAGATCATGGTAACGTGGTGTGTTGATCAGCGAGCATCGGGTTGTGTTGGGAAACTCATGTGGAGGTAATTCAGACACATTTGAATGCCCTGTGAAAAAAAGAGACATTTCAGTTTATGTGACTATTTCCTTCAGGAAATGATAGCAGAAATAGTACTTTTTTCCCCCAACTATTTGCTTACCTTTGCTATACTTCCTGTTTATCATCATTGCAATTCCCCTCCTGTTTGAGTGCGTCGCCCTCACTAGATGTTTCCTCCACATGAGCCAACATGTCGGCCATCAAAGCCTCCTCCAAACGCTTCCGCACACTGTACACCAGCTCCTCTTGCTTTCTGTGACCATAAAATTCAACTGTCTTACATACATTTCGCACACATGCATACAATACTGTGCATCATTCAAAGGTCTGAAATACCTGATATCCTCGTCTGTGACGATGAAGGCCTTGCAGAGAGGCTGAGCCGTGTTGAGCCACACTCCAGGGTTCTTCTCCACAGCAGCAGACAGCTGGCCCGTGATGGGAGCCGCACTGGTGTGAAGAGCACTGGCAATAGCTGACAACAAGGTCTTATCTGTGCAGCCAGGGCCCACTCCTTTAGTGTCGTGAAATATTATCAAATGGATTCATTTTATTAGCATCCTTTAATTTAACCTCTATTTGACTTATTTTAGATATCCTATTATGATGCTACAAGAAATTCATAAAAGAAATTAATACTTTTATTCAGGTAGCAGACAATAAATTGACAAAAGTGACAGTAAAAACATTTAGAATACTACAAAAGATAACTTTTTCAAATAAATGCAGTTCTAAGTTAGTTGGCACAACTCTGGACAAAAAAATGAAAGCACTTTCTATTCATTAAAGAATCCTGAAAAATCTGCAATATTGAGCAGCACGACTGTTTTCAACACTGATAATAATAAAAAAATAATAAGATGCTTCTTGAGCTGCAATTTAGCATATTCAACTGATTTCTGAAGGATCATGTGATGCTGAAGACAGGAGTAATGGCTGCTGAAAATTCAGGTTTGCATCACAGGAATAAATTACATTTTTAAAATATATTCAAAACAGTTATTTTAAATTGTAATCATATTTTACAACATTGCTGTTTTACTGTAATGTTGATCAAATAAAAGCCTTGGTGAGCATAAGAGACTTCTTTCAAAAACATCCAAAAATCTTACCAACCTCAAATTTTTGAAAGCTAGTTTTAATACATTTATTTATTTTTTAATAAAAATCTGTAAAAAAAAAAATCTTAATTCTTTTTTGCATATTTATATTAATATTATATTTTTAAAAAATATAATTTATTTAAAATAAATAAATTGTCAAACAAAACTAATTTAATAAACTCTCTGTAAAGTTCTCTGTACCGGTATAGTTTTGTGTGTGTGTGTGTGTGTGTGTGTGTGTGCGCTGTGCATTTATTTTGACATTACCATATTGTCTTTTATTTAGAAATTGTCAACAGTTATTTCTTACTGGCCTTGAGTGTGTTCACCTGTTTCATGTTAGCGCCCTCTGTTTGGGCCTTGTCTGCTGTTGTTTATGTACTCTGGCTTACTTTTGATTAGTTTTTGCTTGCTTCTCTCATTTTCTTCAGATTTCACAAAGTAATGGAATATTGGTTTTCGTTTATTCTTGATTCAAATAAACACACTTGGATTAAGTTCTTCATCTTGCACAGATGTACCTTGTAAGCCTTTGGGGAGATCCATTGTTTTCACCAACTCCTCTGCTATGTCAAAGGCATTGAGGCCACTCAACTTCTTCTCCCAAAATAGCTGTAGATGAAAAAGTATATTAGCATTGTGCCACTATGACAGACTACTATTATCATTGAATAAAACCTAGATTAGATGAGTATTACCTGTCTGGGCTGGTCAATGGCCTTCTGTGGGTCTGTTTTAACCTTATTGCTGGGGTGGTTGGTAACCTTTGTGACAGGCTGTTTGAAGATGGAGGCCGTCTGTCGTACTGGGAGGGACGTATTCAGGTCGGGTTTACCCTATCAAAGATGGAACATTCTTTATGACCCTGACGAAAAACTGTTTTTGATGAGAATTGCTGGTCTTTTACTGGATATTGTTGCAGGCAGACTAGCTTGACCAGCAAAACTGGTTTGAACTAGCCTTAAAGAAATAGTTCACCCAAAAATGAAACTTTACTGGTCATGTACTCCCCCTAAGGCTATCCAAGATGTAGATGAGTTACATGCTTAGCATTTAGCATTACATCACTTGCTCACCAATGGATCCTCTGCAGTGAATGGGTGCCGTCAGAATGAGAGTCCAAACAGCTGATAAAAACATCACAATAATCCACAAGTAATCCAGACGACTCCAGTCCATCATTTAACATCTAGTGAAGTGAAAAGCTGCATGTTTGTGAGAAACAAATCCATCATTAAGGCTTTTTTTTCACTTTAAACTGTTGCTTCTGGACAAAATGTAAGTTTGTAATCTATAATAACACTTCCTCCTGTGAAAAAGTCAATCCCCTGTTGTCTTCTCACATTAAAATCCACCAATATATTTCTTTAAAACTTTTTTGGGGGACTATTTTCACTTGTAAAGTGCATATTTCTCTCCTGATTTAGATGAGATTACTTTTTCACTGAAAAAAGCAATATTATAGATAGAGCACTCGTATTTTAGCTGGAAACAGTGGTTTGATGTTAAAATCGTCTTAAGGTTGAATTTGTTATTACAAACACACTGCTTAACAAGATGTTAACTGATGGACTGGAGTGGTGTGAATTACTTGTGATGTTTTTATCAGCTGTTTGGACTCTCATTCTGACGGCACCCATTCACTGCAGAGGATCCACTGGTGAACAAGTGATGCAATGCTACATTTCTCCAAATCTGTTCTGATGAAGAAACAAACTCATCTACATCTTGGATGGCCTGAGAGTGAGTAAGTTTTTGGGTGAACTATTCCTTTAATTGGTTTTAAATGCCATTCAGAGATCATTTCTCTTTACTGAGTTACCGAGTCAAACATATGATGAATATGTTTTTCTGAATATGAAACCGTTTGTTCAAATAACATTTATGAAATGACAATTTATTGCAGTCGTTTTACCTTAGTCTGGCTATTGTTGTCATAACGGGGTCTCTGTCTGTTCTTGTTCAGTTTGCTCATGAGCATCTTGCCTGTGCGGAAATCAAAGGAGCTGAGATCCATGGAGTTGCCAAGGTAACGGGCCAATTGAGGCTTGCTCCGGAACTTCTTCCCAGTGGGGCTGGCGAGGGGGAGCAAAATAGGACACATCTCAGAGATCTGATTAATCCATATGGATGCAAATTTGGAAAGAGAATGGGTTATGGTGACAGCAGTTGCATACGGATATATTGACACACAATATACGCAAACAATGACATGCAATGCCTAACTTGGAACGAATTTTGATAAATCCCAAGCCTGTGATGACGAAATGACAATGTTATTAGACCATGAATACTGTGAGGACTAGAATGCTTTCTGCTTCTTAACACTGACAATTATGACGCCATTAAAATCACATTCAAAATGTAATTTTAATGCTTAAAACACACATGAACTGATACAAATTTCACCATTTTAATGCAAATACCTGTTTGATTAATATATAGTTAAATATAAAATAATTAACTGCATTTAAAATAACTATATCCTAATTTAAAGTAATAATAATAATATACATTTTTTTATTTAATGCTGCATATTTGCTCTAAGAGCAGTTTGTGTACAGAAAAAAAACCCTCGATCTATTCTCACTTTTAAATACAATTAACTTTCTTATAAATGTAAAATGAATACAATCCTGTATTGTGTCTAGGGTTTTCAAACACTTGCACTAGATGACTTCCTTTCATGTGCCCTAACAAGCTCTGTAAGCTGTCCCTGTCAATCTTCTCTGCCAAATGTTTACATTTGTTTCGCATAGTTTGCGATAATAGGAATACTGTTTGTCTAGATCTCAGCTGACATTCTTCACTAAGCAGATGCACTTTTGCATCTGAAACAAACACAGTCCTTTCAATCACAATCCTCTGTTAAAAGTTAGTTGGCACAGGTGTGATGCAAAGATGGGTTCACTGAATATTCTGCATGATGATACCATGAAGATTTCGTGCTTGTTTCAAGTTCATGCACAACTCTGGACAAACTTTTTGGGTTTTAGTCGATGGCTCTTCAAGCTTGTCAAGGCGTGCAAACATGTAACAACATAGATGGTTTTTTAATTGATTAAGTAATACGATACCACAAACTATACAAACGACCTGCCTCCCTCCTCTCATGCCTCTGTTCTTCCTCTTCTTCCTCACCTCTGCTAAAAAAAGAACAGTCGTGTCTATTTATGACATGTTGTTGATTGGGAATTCTCTGAAAATAGATTTATTCAGACCATGAGACATAATTTGTTCAACTTAACAGCTGATTATACCAATGGAATAGAGATCCAAATGAATCATCATTTTTAACTGGTTCTTCAGAAGCCCTAAACAGTGTGTGTATGCATAATTTCACTGCAGACAATGCTGCAGGTCAGGAATCTCTTCGTTATATTATCACAGTATGAGAATTTTTGCGTAAAGTCAATCAAACAAATGCATTGCCAGTAAATCCAGAGACATTCAGACCACGAGACATAATTTGTTCAATTTATCATGATAAAAAAACAATTCTAAACAAGTCATTCATTTTAATTGGTTCTTTTGAATGGGGATTCAAATCTGTTAGGTGGGGGAGTCATAAACGATGCAAATGTAACATTTCTGCAAACCAGTTGGAAACTTATTTTGCAAAAAAAAAAAAAAAAGTTATTCATTGCAAACACTAAGTTTCTCAAATGAATTAGTAAAGCAAACTTCTTTCAGCAGTCAGTGTCAAAACTACTATTTGTTCAAATGAATCTGACTTGCCAACACTACTGATAGGATGTCTGACACTTTTGAACAGCTTGTTTCAAAGAAAAAGCTGGAGGGAAAAAAATCAGCTTTTGCTATGGTTACCACTGCAGACAAAGGCCAATTTTTCTGTATTCATTTACATACATTTAGTGCACTTTGAGTCTCTCTCTCTCCTCCGGCTGATTTTAGACTCAAAGTCTGTGACAAACTTGTAAAATAACTTTTTGTAATTGTGAACCGGTCTAGCCGAATCCTTAGAAAAAAAGAGCCAATTCAATTTGGATGCGATTCACATGCCCAGTTGACATGCACCCCCAATCCCCCACCCCCTTCTGAAATAAAGCACACAAAATCCTCTCCACAGCTGGGCCTACTTTTACATGACAATCCCCCCTCTGTACTCAGTGCCTAACATAACACACATGGCTTTCCCTCCTCAATCCCAGCACTCCCACTTTTCACTCCATGATGTACAGAGAGTCCATATGTGGCATGCTTATTATCTTGTATTGTTTTTAATAAATAATACCTAGACCTCTCTGTAGCAATACAGTGTCTATTTTCAATAATGCTGCTTTGTCACTTTGCAAAACGTTCCGCCGTACCGTCGCCTCATCACATTGGGCTCTTCTGTTCAATGAAAGATACCTCCGCTGGGAAAATAGGCTACACTTATGCCTCATGCATCATCCAGATGCCATAAACCTGTAGTGGCACTCGTGGAATAATAAATATATGCGTGTTTTCGTTCGTTATGTTACCACGGTGTCATATTTTGCGTGATTGTGAATGTAAACAAACGCATTACTAGTAAAACCGGGGACATTTTAGCACACATCTTTTCTGAAACTGAATGAAAGACTATGGTTGGTAAAAAACTACGTATCTTACGAACATCGTGCATTAAAATGGCAATCGCGGAATGCAAACAGAAGCTGCATCTGGTCCAGCGCGACGTTAAAACAAGGTTAAATAAACAGTTAATTTTTTTTAAGCTATTTTCATGTTAAGACAAAACACGCTTCATTTGATCGGTTCACACACGTAGCCGAACAGGTCGCTTTGTTGCTCTGTTACATTAATTAGTTTATCATACGCCAAACGCGTTTTCTTTCTTCAAGACCATCGCCGATTGAAAGCACTGCGCAAACTAGTAGCCCCGGCAAAGCGAAGACTAACTAGTCCACTCAAATTAACAAACGCGAGCGCTTTGCTCGTAAACCAGCATGGCGATAAATGCACGTGCGGATCTCGATTTAATACGTTTGCGATATTAAATCGGTTATATACTTACTCGTTTTTCTCCATCGCGCATTCTCTGTTGGAACGTCGTGCATTAAAATGGCAATCGCGGAATGCAAACAGAAGCTGCATCTGGTCCAGCGCGACGTTAAAACAAGGTTAAATAAACAGTTAATTTTTTTAAGCTATTTTCATGTTAAGACAAAACACGCTTCATTTGATCGGTTCACACACGTAGCCGAACAGGTCGCTTTGTTGCTCTGTTACATTAATTAGTTTATCATACGCCAAACGCGTTTTCTTTCTTCAAGACCATCGCCGATTGAAAGCACTGCGCAAACTAGTAGCCCCGGCAAAGCGAAGACTAACTAGTCCACTCAAATTAACAAACGCGAGCGCTTTGCTCGTAAACCAGCATGGCGATAAATACACGTGCGGATCTCGATTTAATACGTTTGCGATATTAAATCGGTTATATACTTACTCGTTTTTCTCCATCGCGCATTCTCTGTTGGTGTCGCCTTTTTTGTGAATGTTAAATCCCCCTCTCTTCCTCTATACTTTCATTCCCCTCCCCCTTCAATGAGACAAATGAAAGACATTATGCCCGATTAGTGTTGACTTAACGAGACAAAGCCCTGCGGTAGACGGGTAACCATAAACCACATGATGGCAATACAATGCACCGTTTTGTTTTTATGTAGCAAATATTTGTCGCGTTATTTATTCTAAGAAAATGTATTTTCATATTATACAGGTCATTTGACTTTACAGTAGCTATATGTTGTAGGCTCATCTGCAATACGTCTATGGGACGTTTCCTATCAGATGTCATAGAGATCTTTAGAAGATGTCTTTAAGATGTTTGTGACTTAGAATGTATGTAAAACTTACATCTTAACGACGTCTGGGTGATTCAACATTTCAGAAAGTTAAGGGGAAAAGAGCTGTTCACTAACAGACATTCTTTCCAGTATTTTATTGAAAACATATTCAATTTGAATAATTCAGTGCTTGCCAAACACAAGTTACTTCCTTTTTTCACTTTTAATGAAAAACAAAAACAAAAACATGGCTTTATGGTATTGTTTGTCAACTCTGTTACGGACAAATTAGGCAATGTTTAGAAATAACAATAAATCATAAAAGGAAACATCCTTCTTGTTTCATTAAACAGTCTTTACATTCCAACACTTGAAACTTAGTTAATATTTTACCTATGCATACCTTAAAAGTAAAACAAAACAAAAACAAACCTATGTCTTCACAGAACTGTCCACTTGGAGCAAATATTTTTCATCTGAAAATGTATTATATACAATATCCAGTAAACAAAAATGCTGTTGAAATATTATAAGGGTGCAAAATATTTCAATAATGTTTATGAGATTCTAAACAACTGTATTTTTTTTTTTGTGTGTGTGAAAATAGTTCATAAACAGAGTTGACCCTTTAAGTAACAGAATTGACAAAATTATCCGGTGGACTGTCAATTCTGTTACACTATTGTCAGCCGTGTTACTCTACCTTGGTAACAGAGTTTGACGGTAACAGAATTGACAATTTTATTTTATTTTTTGTCAAAAACTCCACTTGCTAGCATAAACGCTAAGAGCACATGGCACCAATGAAATCATAATTAAAAGACTTTTAAATAACCCACTGTGTGATCAGTAATACATTCTGTCTTCCTTTGATATTGTGGTAACAGTGTTGATGATCTTCAAAAAAAAACCTCTTGGTATAAGAACTTTTTAGATTAAAATATTTTCTCAGAGAGAGCACACAGACTTTTCAGTGCTTCAGATCTTATCAGTGAGGGAAAGAGACATCATGTCCTGTATCTTGCATAGTTGTGGGAGATAATTCCACCATGCTAAGAGCACATGGCACCAATGAAATCATAATTAAAAGACTTTTAAATAACCCACTGTGTGATCAGTAATACATTCTGTCTTCCTTTGATATTGTGGTAACAGTGTTGATGATCTTCAAAAAAAAAACTCTTGGTATAAGAACTTTTTAGATTAAAATATTTTCTCAGAGAGAGCACACAGACTTTTCAGTGCTTCAGATCTTATCAGTGAGGGAAAGAGACATCATGTCCTGTATCTTGCATAGTTGTGGGAGATAATTCCACCAATTTAAAGGCAAAGTATGGTACGGTAACAGAGTTGACGCAAGGTTTATGGACACACATTTTTATAAGAAAAAAGTTATTTTCAAACATTTTCATGTTGTAGAATTAAGTAAATGACTATTTAGGGCTTTTATAAATAAAATGAATGCAATATTACAAAAAGAAGAGTACAATCAAATATTTTGATGACAATGATACATGATGGAAAAAATGCACTGACTAATTCGGACAACAAGAAATCATGATTTTTGAAAAGACACATTTTACACAAATTATTATAGTGTTATTGACTGTAACACATTGTAATTCATAACAATAAGTAATAAATTATTAAAATAATTAAAAATATAAGCATTTGAAAAAAAAAGCTGAAAAAAATTATGACTTCGGACACCAAATATACTGTAAGGCTGATGATACACAGGGCAACTTTTTTTGAGCAATGTTGCTTGGGCACTTTCTTATTGAGGATGGGTAACAAATGAATATACTTTAGATCGGTCGTGGGCCCTGTGTCTCACCTGGTTGCCCGATGATGGCAACATTGCCCAAAAAGTAATTTTACATAACATAATTTCGGTTGTTCTTCAAATCATGTAAGATATTATAACCTTATTATTACTATTTTATTTATTTTAAGCACAGTTCACTACTTGTTCTCTGAGGTTCCTGTTGAAGAAGTTGCACAGTAGGTTTCCTGCGCCAGTCGTGCAGGAAATCCCACTCGCAAATCCTGTGGGATTGTGCTGGAACACGTGAGCAAGTTCTGCTCAGTTTTTCTTCTTCTTTTCTTTTCTGAGGATTTCGGGAGAATGTCTTTTTTTTGTGAGGGGCATTATGGCGGAAACCATGGTTACCATGGTAACATTTTGTATAGGTGAGATGCCTCCTCAAAGAGGCGCTGATTTCCGTCAACGTGCAGTTTATTAAGAACAATGAATATATCAAACAAAATGAAATGTTATGACACGTGCATAGAGAAACATTACTATTTATTCACAAAAGTAACAACATCTTTTACGCTCAATGTGCACACTCAAACTGAGTTATGTGCTAAGCATTAAACACTCCCTTTACAGAAAGACAGCAACTTATTAGCAAGACATGCTAGCTATCTGCAGTCTGATAATACACCATTAGGACCATAGACATATAAATGCCTAGACGCCTCATTGGCCGCTGGATCGGACGTCAACGTCGCCGCCATCTTGGTGCGGGCATCTTTTCCATCATTCTCATAAGTGGACTCGAGAAAATGTACAAACCGCCGTACAATTGAAAATAGGTCTCGGGGAATTACTTTTCACAGATAAGACTGAAAAGTTGTTGACTGACACTGATCTGGTTGTATTTGGTCATTAAAACATTATATTGACACAACTTGACAGTAATTGACCGTCGGAGTCAGACTATTAATAGCTAGCGACATCGCTATTTAGCTGCGAGTCTAGGAAACCAGAAATGTTACATTCTTTCTTATATAGTTTTAGCGTATGGTAAATTATATATCATAAACTAAATTGCCCGTAATCGAGATATTCATTTATATTGCTGTTTTTTCTCTCAAAACGGACTCTTGTGCCGACCTACTCGTTTCGGCTAAGTAGTATTAATCTAATTTAACGTTAACCGTTAGTAGTTGGCTAGCTGACGTTAGCTAACTCTTCTCACACATTGAAGGTTTCCCAAAAACAAAGAGTTGAGGAGGCAGTGGGAAGTAGCTCTAAGAAGAGAAGCGAGTCCTCCGTGCTATGCAATGAACACTTCAAGCCGGACTTTGACAGGTCAGGTCCAATTGAGAGGATTAGGGATGGAGCTAAACCACCGATCTTCAGCTTTCCCCCTCATCTACAAAGAGTAGGTTTTATCGTCACTGGATTATAAGGATTTGATAGCTTGCAATTCCTTAGTTAAATTGATTTAATATCTAATTTAACTATCGAGATTTTAAGTATCTGGATTTTTTTTGTACACCACGTAGATCATAAACCACTGATATCAGTTGATAAAAACAAACGTTGTCATATTTTTATACAGAAAAGCCGCAGCTCTCCCTGTTCGTTGCATTTGTTTACAGGGAACTCTTGCCCGCACCAATATGGCGGACGCGTTGACGTATCGCAGCAACGGACCGAAACGGCCAATGAGGCGTCTAGGTATTTATATGTCTATGATTAGGACATTATGAGAGCTTATCAGTCTTAAAGTGACAGATAATCCTCTTTGGTCTTTATGACTGTTGCGTAAATTCATCAGTGTCGCCTACTGGCTAGTCAAAGCATCAGCTTTATTTGTTCCCTGTAAAAATGCACAGCACCCGCTTTCCACAGATCAGATCCATAAGGAGTTGCTAACTAAGTTAAGTCATCCTTCTTGAATTTGCCTCTAATGTAGGGAACACAATCCAGAATCAGCCGCCAGTCTGTAAAATGAACAACAGCCAGGCCACCAACTGTAGCCCATCCGACCAGTTGGTGACCAGGAATGTCTAATTAATAGTTACTAGCATGCTATTCTAGAATTATAACAGTGGAAACACGTGCTAAAATGTCAGATGAGCTGCTTGACTTTTAAGTTAACATATTCTAGTTAACTATTTATTAAATCCAGGATGAATTTACCACGTCCTGGCAATGGAGACATTTGGTTCCGATCCGCTTTATGATTTTTGGCATCTTTTGTATCTTGCCTTCCTCTGTTCAGAAAGTAAACATGTTCAAATGGCTGTTTTAGGACCCTGGGCTGTCCGTTATTAGCCTGATAGAAAATTCTGGAACTGAGGATACTGTATATGCATAAAACAGATTGTTAGAGTGTGAATAAATGCTGGGGATGTGTTATTAACTGGTTTGAATAAGGATTATGAAATGCACAGGGACGCAAAAAGAAAACTGCAAAAAAAACTTCTTCTTTTTTTACTATAATAGAAAAATCTGATTTACAAGAAAAGCCCTTTTAATTTTCGCCCACTTTATTAATTTGAGTTTTGTACTATATTTATCTTGTATACACCTGCTCCTACCGTTCTAATGCATGTTGTTGGTATTTTGTTTGTACATGACAAATTGTTCAATAAAAAAAGCACAAAAATAGCTAGATCTGGTTAAAATAGTCTGGCTAGCAGCTGCATAACGTTAACTATTCGTAGTTAGCGTGTAGCCTACAGATTTTGATCAGTCCACCTAGAAACAAAGTTTATAAGTTAGCTGGCTACATTGAGCACTTCTGAGAAAGATCTAGTCTAGAAGCTAAGCAGTTTGCGAGTTATGTGGCATCAAATCTGTGAAAGATATTCAGTTTTGCTCTGCAACGTTTTATGTTATGAGTTACGAACAGTGTTGGGAAAAGTTACTTTTAAAAGTAATGCATTACAATATTGTATTACTCCATAAAAAAGTAACTAATCGCGTTACTTAGTTACTTTTTTTATGGAAAGTAATGCGTTACGTTACTTTTGCGCTACTTTTTAAATCTGGACAGGGCTTGCTTGTTTGTTTTTAAAATAAAAAAGTTCTATTTTTGGCAAATATAAAAGCCTTTTCACACCAAAAGTGAAATGAATAAGCCTCAGGCTGAAGGGAAAGTACATTTACGTCCGTACAGTAGAATGCAGAAGAAGACATTTCAACACATTTCAGCAATAAAAAACACACACATGTTCGTCTAGAGTAATTTGTGCTTATTAGTACGGTTGAACTGGATCATCGAGAAGCAAAGACATTGGTTAATAGAATGGGAATAAATACATAAAGGATACATTTAATTATTGCAGGTTTGCGTCATATTCTGAGTTGCATTATTTTTATTCATTTTGAGGAATACTGAATCTGTGTTTTTTTTTTATTTTTATTTGTGAGTGAGATTAATTAATACATATATTTATTTTAGAACTACAGTAACATCTTCTGATTTCTCTCAACATGGGGACAGGAGAGCTGTCAGTCAATACATTGAAAAAAAGTAACTTGCGTTACTTATTTGAAAAAGTAATTTAAATATTCTCTTGTAAATTAAAAAGTAATGCGTTACTTTACTAGTTACTTGAAAAAAGTAATCTGATTAGGTAACTTGCGTTACTTGTAATATATTACCCCCAACACTGCTCTTATGAAAGCCGGTTCACACCAATGACTATAACGTATAAATGTCGATAACGACACTGAGGTAGCCTACAGCTCACGTTCAGAATGATTTTTTTTGTTTGTTTGTTTTGTTTACAGTTGATGAACGATTAAAAAAAAACATTGACAGCCAATTAGGATCCTCGCGCTCCCTACTTACTTCTCTTTACTTTAAAAGACCGTTTTCATACAGTATATGGAAAAGACACGCAATGGTAAGACTTTTATTACAATGTTTTTTTTTATTTAACTCATTTGAAGGTATACAAGAGCCAAAGCAAGACATTGAAAAAAAAAAAGTATAATTCTGTTATTAAAAATGGCACATTTATTGCTACATTACTGTTATATACAGGACAGTTCTCAATACCTACTTATATATATATATATATATAAAAACAAAGACAAAAATAATAATAATAATAATAATGACAAAAACCGGAGGCACTCTGAAGACAAAACAGCAGTATTGTTCATGTCCCTACTGCAACTGCAAGACACCAGGTTCTGTAAAACATCTCAATTCTGATGGAAATCATGGGCAGCAATCTTACTTCGGTAAACGACGATACATTCAGAATGTTCACTCAGTTGGACATTCAAGAGAAGATGCTTCAGGGATAAAAAGAAAATAATTTCAGGCAGGAGAATCTTTGATGACACGACAACCCTCCTTCAGCATCTAAAGCATTAAGCTTGAGGCAAAAGCAAGTCCAGCACTCAAATATTTTATAGATATTTTCAAAACGAACACTCATTTCAGATGGTATCAGCTGGCTAAATTGAGAATCACTCATAACAGTCTAGTGTTTCCGGCCCCCATCTGATGAATCGACAAAGATCCTTCAATTTCCTCGTGTGCTTCACAAATCACAGGACACTAGCGTTTTGAAAGCAAAAAACTAATTCCAACCTAGTCGAGCCAAAGATGACAGGAACGAGAATCCTAAAATTGCCAAAAAGGGGCACACCTAAACACAGCATAATAATGAGGATGAAAGACTACAATGTTTCTAAATTGCAGATTAAATACTACAAAGATGCTTCCAGAAAGAAAAACAAAACAGACATTTTTGCATTTCGAAATAATAAAACAAATGGTCAAGTTTACAATGAAGGTAAGTTTAGGCACTGACAAGGCATCACTCTCAAAAATGACAGTCTTGAGAATAAGAAGGCCACGATATATAAATGTTCAGCAACTTTTTATCTTTATCAACAATTGATATTATGTTTCCATTATACTTTTGGACAACCCAAGTCCAGTATCCCCCTTACGGTGAAATGTTATTACTCAGAAATCATATCCATTGTGGACATTGTGACATTTACATAGGTTATAACACCATTCCTTTCCTACATACAGAATTCAACATCATCTCACGCACACAACAAAAAATGGGTTGAGACGTACACCTTGAAAATGACCATATGAATCAACTAAACTCACAGTAAGTCAGTCTGATGGAGACGTGAGAGTGTTTACATTTGAATATTACATTCAAACAGGTTGCATTATGTGCATTGGCGAGACTGAAATGATGGTGAACGCTGCTTACGCACTACACCTTTGCCTAAGAACACTTATATTGACGTACGGTTCCCTGAAATCAGGAAACTATCACGAGGATTTAAACCTTGACGAGCCCCAAACCTTCATTATCAATTCTCTTTATCATTTCTTCGTTAGCATTGAGCTATCGGGGGGGCGTCTGGGATAAAAGTAACGATGGGTCGCCTCACCCAAGCCTTACATTTGTGAAAATGTAAGCAGGGGTTTTTGTTTTTTTAAATCGTACGACGCGACTCTGAGCGTTCGCTTGCGCTATATACTCTACATTTCAAACTAATATGTTTTTGTTATTTAGAAATCTACAATGTATATAGACTAAGAAAAATATATATTTATAAATATTCTTTTTTTTCCCCTTCAAATTGAAATAATATCCATTACATATGTTTGAGGTGGACATGTGTACGCTTTCAGACTTTTGGCAACAATGAATCGATGCGAGCGAGTGATGAACATGTTCTGGCGGGGAAAAATAATAAAAATAAAGAAGTGAAAGATCAACTTGGCAATTTCGTGCCTGGGAACGCAATGGAATCCAGGCAATTGTTGTCATAGTAACAGAAGCTCACGCTCCTTTATGATGCGGGTTCTTCCGATTGGCTGAACTAGTCAATGGCATCGTGAGAGCTGATGATGTGTGATGTTTCCAAAAAAAATGAAACAGTCTGGAGAGCTGCGATGGCCCGTGTGCTTTTCTCACTTTCAAGAAGAGCCCTGGCCCACAGAGCAGTGGCATGCTGGGATATGCCATCCTCAAAAGCACCACAGGTTCACCCCACTTCTCATGGGGTTTGGTTACACAACGCATGTAAGACTGTACCTTTCAGTAAGGAATGACAAACCACATTTGAAAAGAAAAAAAAAAAATCCTCATATACAACCAACTCCCAAACTTGTTTTGTTCCATACAAGTAAGCAGTTTGCGTCTTTTATAAAACGTAACAATTAGGCACAGATCCATGATTAAATTGACATCCGTCTCGTCTCTCGTTCAAAACTCTTTCTGCAGTGGAAAATAAAAACGTCCGTTGTGGTCAGAACATGTCTATTCCTATGATCCATTGTTTTAAGGAAGCAGAAAAATACAAAATGACTTGAGAAAGAGTTCTTCACATTTGTGCTGGTAATTACGGTCTAGAGTGATCACGGACAAAATCTGCTGTGTCAGTTTTGGTGGGTCGATTCGTGTGTCCAAAAAGGTTTGGAGGGTGCATCTCTGATTTCGTGGATGATATGCTTTCCAAGTCACTAGATGCACACAGAGAGGATGAGAACGGTGGAAGAGATTCAAGGTCACTTCTTCCAGGAGCCCCAAGACATTTCACTGGATCTACAGATAGAAAACAGAGATTTCAATCAGAGACTTCAATCAGTGTTGTTATTGTTAACCAAAACTATTAAAAATCATTTTCAGTAATTGAAATAAAACTACTTTAAAATAAAAGTAACACTTTACAGTAATTACTTAATGCTGGTTAATGCATTAACTAACATTAATGAACAATGCGCAATGCATTTGACAGATAATTTATGAATCTTTTTTAACAGTGAATAAATGCAACTGTTCATTGTTTACGTCAGCTTAAGTTCATAAGATATTAACAGATACAACTATTGATCTTTATGTAGAAGTTAGTAAATGTTGAAATTAACAAACTAAAAATTAGTAAAACCTTTAGAAGCATTTTTCAATGTTAATGTTGTTAACTAATATTAACAAATGCTACCAAAATAAATATTAGACGAAACACTTGATCTTGCATTGGAAATAAACTGAAATAAGTTGAAGTTGAAGTACTAAATTACTAACACTGAATTAAGAATGAATTAAAGCTACATAGAAATATAATAAAACTACTAAAAATGACAAAACACGTAACACAATTACTAAAATGAAGCTAAAAATAGAACTGAAAATACAAAGGAAAAAAAGCTCATTTAAAATATTATTAATATTACATAAATAGTACCAAAATAACACTGATTTTTAGACCAGTAAGTGTTAAATTATTTAACTTATGGCTAATAAATGGCAGATATTACAATTCTGTACTGCTTTGTCAAAATAAATTACATAAAACTAATCTGAAAGTTTTAAAAGCTGTGAATGTAGACATCACAACATAATGCATGAAAAATGGATTTTGTTTTTGAGATTTGCTTAAGACTCCACTTTTAACAGTGCCATTATAATAAAGAGTTTTTAAAGACAATGGCAAAGGTAATAAGCATGAATAATTAAATGCACAATATTGAGCGATACGGATAAATTATACTAACAGCTGACAATCGATACAGTAGCGATAACATGCATCTCAAATTTTTGGTGTCTAACCACTGTATACTATTAACTGTAATAACATCTGTAAGTGTAAAATCTAACTAGTGACCGAAAAGTGCTTGCATAACTTGTGTTACACAAAGTGAGGCAATGTTTAAATGGACATTAACATACCACATGATCACATGCGTCCATCTCCTCCCAGTCCTGGATGCGGTCCGGACAGCTGCATTTGAGTGTCTCCAGCCACCCCGGACACTTTCTCCTCTTCACGTCGCTTCAGACATGCCGCTTTTGGGTTCAGGTTGCGTTCTGGATGAAAAAGATTGTAATTACAAAATTAATGATTGATTCACTTAAAGGAAAGTCCAATATTCAAGTTTAGGAAAGTGTAACTGTTCATTTATTAAAAAACATTTCATTGATAAAATAAGCCTTCTTCTAAATGTAAAATCTTTTAAAATACATTTTCTGTTAATATATACAAGGCCAAGTGGACAGAAAAATGTATATCAATCAATATTATTACAGCCTAACATATTTCAATTCTCAACGGATAAAATTAAAGGGGTCATATGATGTTGCTAAAAAGAACATTATTTTGTGTATTTGGTGTAATGAAATGTGTTTATGCGGTTTAAGGTTAAAAAAACACATTATTTTCCACATACTGTACATTATTGTTTCACCTCTATGCTCCGCCTTTCTGAAACGCGTCGATTTTTACAAAGCTCATCAGTCTGAAAAGCAAGGTGTGCTGTGATTGGCCAGCTATCCAGTGCATTATCATTAGCCGAATACCTTAAGCGTTAGAAGGAAATGTTACGCACCTACCATATTGTGATGATGCCCTGTCAGGCCGGAGTGATGATTCAAAAACATGAAAACCCATTATAAACGAGGCATTTGTTGCATCCAGTGGAGATATAATTATGGATTATAATAACTTATACTGTCTTTTTACACATTACGTTGCATCGCGCCGCGTAAACATAAAACCATGTCTGCATTTGTGATCGGAGAAATGACAAACAACAAGCCCTACTCTACACTGCCCAAAAAACTCGCTTTAAATATATAAAATATAAAAACTCTTTAAATATAAAAAACGTACTTACAGTCTTTGAGTCAGAACAGTCGGCATTGTAGTCTACTCTAGCAGGATCAGGAAACAGTCCTCCATAAAATGTGCAGCACACATCTGGATATTTGGGTTGAAGTGTTCTGGAACAGTGTTGTAAATACAACTTAACCACTGATCTTCTAGTCGTGTCCTCTTTTGGAAGGCCAAACAAAGTAGTTTCGCTTTCACAACGAAACACAGCGTCACACACGGCGGCCTAGTGTGAGCAGAGGCCGGGGGCTAGAGTGACCAGCTCCAGGCATGACAACGCAGATATCGTCTTCTTTTTGGAAGGCCAAACAAAGTAGTTTCGCTTTCACAACAAAACACACAGCGCCTTCACGACATGCCGGCGGCAACATCAATACTACAGCGAGAATTTTTAGAAAGTTACGCCTTCTTTCTTTGCGTGAACATTTGGGCTGCGTTATGCAAATCTTCCCACATAGTGACGTAGATATGTGGGGGCGTGTTCGAACGAGCCGTTTTAGGTAGGCGTGGTTGACTCTTAACTTTTATAAAGAATATCTCTTTGGATTTGAGACTTTAGTCTTTGCAACTTTACAGATCTTCTTTATGCACCAAGAGCTTGTAACACTCCAGAGAGAAAGAAAAAATTTAAATAGCATCATATGACCCCTTTAAGTTCTGGTACCGTATTTCCCCATGAATATTCAGTATTACTCAGAAAATTATACAAGTAAATGCTGTTTTATGTCAGTATTAAGGATGAAAACACTATTTTTTTTTATGATTATGGTTTATATTCATGTGTTTTTGGTTAAAGTTGGAAAATATTCAATAGATATATTGGAGAAAAAAAAAAAGGATGAGAACACACCACGGACTTGTTGCTCCAGGTTTAGGATCACGTTGACGGCCTGGTGCAGAATGAGCAGTTTGGTCTGGGGTTTATCGTTGCTCAGGTGCAGCTGGCACATGCGGCCCAACTCTTTAAAGGCCCCATTGATGTCACGCACACGCAGTCGCTCTCGTGCGTTGTTGGTCACTCGCCGCTCTTTCTCCCGCTCGACCTTTAACTCTGGCGGCAAATCCTCATCATCTTCATTGTCTTGACTGTGAAGAGAAAATAATATAAATAACATTTCAATTCCATTTTTAAAAACTGTACAATGAAAACATATTTGATTAAAATTTAAAAATGTAATAAAATAACTTTTTTTTAAATAAAATATCTTTCAAATGTAAGCTTTGTAGTCCAGGTGCCTGCTCAAGTATACTAGGTGTAAAGTTGTGTACATAAATTACTTATAAATATATAAATTACTATAAATATATAGTATATATATATATATATATATATATATATGATAAAATAAATTTCTTAAAAAAAAGGGAGGAAGAAAAAAAGGGAAAAAACATGACAGTATAACTCGGCGGATATCGAATTTTGCGTAAAATTAAAAATGGACATTTCAATACTGACCAGATACAATACTGATTTTAGCGGAAACTCAATAAAAAAATGTTTTTTGGGAAATTTGGCGTTTTGGAACCAAACTCTTCATATGTATAAATTAATATAAATTACTTATTATAAATCTCTTAAATACAGTACTAGTCAAAAGATTGGACACACCTGACAAATGTTTTCTCATGGTTAATGCATTTTGATCGAAACTTTAGTAGAGAAATATTTTGCATCTATATACACTACCGTTCAAAGGTTTGGGGTCCAGAATACATGCAAACTCCTCCAATATGGTTAAGCACCCCATAATTCGTATACTTCCTCCATTCATGTTATTTCATAGTTTTGCTGACTTCATTATAATTTTCACCATTTCTTGATGATCATATAGAATGACAATTTGGGTCCAAACCTTTTACTTGTAGTATAGAAATATCAGTAACCCAGTTTAGATCAAGAGATGAATGTAAAAAATAATAATAAAAAATATATATTAAAAAATATATATAAATTTAGCTTCATATGCTGATTTTGCAGCCAACTGCGCATTGAAAAACAGACGATTCTAGCTTCACTCATGAAAATGTCCTATATACAGTGGGGGAAAAAAAGTATTTAGTCAGCCACCAATTGTGCAAGTTCGAGTCCCCCCTGTGCCAAAAACATCTTAGTGCTTCAATGGCTTTGAAATCATTTTGTGCACAATAACACAAAGACATTTAACGATTAAAAGCGATCAAGTGTGTATCCGGAGTCTTTGACAAACATGCACTCTATGGTGGGAGATAGACTTACTCTTCTCCCTGGTCTGATACACCTGAAAGGACTTGATGGGTAAACACCTCCTTTCTGAAAACAATGTGAGAGTTTGGGAAGGGGGGATGGAGAACACTATAAAACATGGTATTTTGGGTGTTGTGGAAGCCCAAACACTTTGAAATCAGGCCTGGCCCAATGTGAAGAAACATTTGAACAAACAGAAATGTATAGACCTTTGTTGGCAATCAAATTAAGACAATGCAGATTTGCTTCAAACCATCATGTGGTTGAGCATTTCTGGTTCAAAAATAATTCAGCCATTATTTAAGGGCAATGCTAAAAAAAAAAGCGATCTTGTACCTTGTTCTGGTGCGAGACGGTTTACTTTCCTTCTTCTCTTCCTCAGACTTATCGGCCACAGAGGAGTTCTCATCTTCCTCCTTGTCTTCCCTCTTGACGTCAGATTTGTTTGACGAATGTGTGGCGTGGGCCAAGCCTCCGGGCAAACCTGAAGCCAGAGACAGGAAATTGTTAAATGCATCCCGCTGAAACGCACACGCAACTCTCAGCGTTTGCATCTGTTGTTGACATGTTCGGTTGGTTCAGAAAGAGAAATTGAAACTGCTGCTCACTGCTAAAACCCTCTGGTGCTCCTCCAGGCTGTGGGGTGCCTGAAGCATTAACGGACTGCAACAGGGTGCTGCTGGGAGGAAGGCAGGCATGGTCATCATGATGGCTTCCAGCCTGCAGACAAGTGCATCAAGGGAGAGTAATTAGCACATATCAATACCCACAGGTGCATTACTATTGTTTTGTGTTCCACAGTACCACATACAGCTGTAAACTGGAGACATGCAATCAGTGTTTGTAAAGCTAATTTGAAACTAGTAGTTAAATTAAACTTAAAAAAGGTCTGAAAAACTAATAAAAAGTAAACATATATATATATATATATATGAATTATTAAACTAAATAATATATTAAGACACTTTATTTCACGGAGTCCTTATTACACATTACATGTACTTACTATAATAATAATAATAATTTAGTGAACAGGGTACTAGTATTACTACTTTTATAAGGAATTACAGATAGCTAACCTTAAACCAAACCCTATAGTAAGTACATGTTGTCAATTAATATTACTTAGTACTTTGTGTAATTTCAATGTAACTAGGACACATTCAAATAAAGTATAATGAAGTTAATATACAAGTGTATATTAACACTTATTTTTACACAATATTTGCTCATTTTACTAAAAATATGATGCATTGCTACTTGCAAGATTATCAGCCAATAGCTATAACTATTGCCATCAAGCTGATAATTCAAATGAATCTCTGAATCAGTTTTTTTATAAAGTTAAATCAAATGAACCACCCAAATGAACCAATTTACTAAAACCATGATGCCTTGGATGGGATTTCGTGTTATCCATCTGTTTGGATCATACTACTAAGTGCCTGCACTAACCATGGCAGGGTGTCTGTTGCTCAGAGGCAGTCCTGGGTTGGAGTAGGCCTGAGGGAGACCCCTCATAGATCCACTGGGTGTGGAGACGGCACCCAGTAGGCCGTGCACGTCAGCATGTGCTCCAGGAATTCCCGGGGCCTGACCTACCGCATGACTTCGCAGCACATGAATGGCCTCCTCCAACCGGTCTTCCATTTTGTTCTGCTGTGAAGAAAAATAATTGATATTTACCTTAAAGTATACATAAGTATATACCTTTAAGGTACAACATGTAAGTTTTCACCACTAGAGGGCGCCCATTCAAAACAAACAAAGAAACAAAGGCGTAGTTTGATGACTCCGTGACGAGTGTGGAATCATGGGAGTTGTGGTCTTCATCCCCACAGCCGAAGCAATCCGACGGGACTCAGGCAGAAATCATGTTCATGGATGAGCTAATCTATTAAAGATTTATTAACATCGTAGTATGAAGCAGAGTGAGGCGGAAAGCCATCGAAGCGAAACGAGGCCGCTGAAGAAATTGCTAATGAGAGACGAGAGTAACACACGGCTCGAAAGCAGCGGAGCTTTTATTATGCAACAGTCGACCGCTTCCGCTCCTTCCGGTCGTGCATATGTGGGGTAAAGCAGTGCTGTTTTATCATACTAGATACATTTGAAAGTCCTGTTATCATGCTACTCTGTGCGGTCGTCACCTGTCTAATACAACGCACAACATATCAAAGCGTCTTTGGTGTTTCCATGTTTTCTACAAAACCGGGTATCGAGGGGTTATGATGTCATTGGCAGACGACACAATGACACTATGGACACGGTCCGTGTCACTAGTTAAAATTGCTTATTTCTCTGGATTTAAACATTCTTCGAAACATTTGGGATAATGTAAGTACACAAGTCAGCAAAATATATAACACTGTTCTAGTGGTTTTTGGATATTTTAATAAAAAAATCTTATATATTCTTTAATAGAATAAATAGAATAAAAAGCACAGATGATTTGTACACAATGAGGCCAAAAATAATCATTAAGAAAGTCAAACATATAAATAATATAATAATATTAGAACACAATACATTATTTCATGTGTTTAAATGGCATTTTTAAAAATATAATCTAAAAACGCTAAATGCTAACATTGCTAAATGTGGTTGTACATCAGTGTTATTGTTAAGTAAAACAAACTATTAAAGTCATTGTTGTTAGCGGAGATAAAATATGAATATTCTATGGAAAACTTGAGCTTAAACGAAAATTAGAAATGTTGCCTTGGCAACTAACAGAAATAAAAGTACTAAAATTACTAAAACTGAAAAAAAAAATCCATTTAAGCTATATAGAAAAAAAACACTAAAATTTTAAAGAAAACCAACCATAAAAGCAAAATCACAGTATTGATTAATATTTTAAAAATTATACAAATAATACTAAAATTACACTTGTATATTTGTCTAATTGAAGAGTGAAGCTTGAGGTGTTTACATTGTGGGAATATTATCAAAAAGGATAAACCTACCAGTGCATGTAGTCCACCCTCATAGTTAGGAGACAGAGCAGCCTGGCCAGAAGCTCTCGACCACTGTGCTGCACCTGCTGAGGAGAACATGATACATAGACTAAATGTGAAACATCTGAATGCTGGTATGTCACTATGACAGCAGATGGCGCTCTAGAGCTTCACATTCACACCTTAACCTACAAAAAGCCCATAAATCTAAAAAGAATTATTTATGATTCTTCAGGCTTCTTCCTCTGCATACCCGTTTTTGTCTTGGTACCTTTCAACACAAACTGATCTAATGAACCATATCAAGCTTTGACAGAATAAGACAGCTTATCTGACTTACTTGCAATGCCCTGAGGGGAGCCCACAGGAGTGGAAGGAGTGGAGAAGTTGTTGCTGTTGTGGTCTGAAGGATAGATCTGTCAATAAAAAACACATGGAACATGACTAAATGTGAAGCTCTCCTATGGCTAATAATCTATAACCAAGGGATCACTGAAAGTCTGAATAATGCTATCCATCTTCGACTTCACATGGCCAAATGCTCTTTCATGGTGATTAATGAAAGCTCACTCACCGAAGCAAGAGCTTTTCCGATCTCATCACCTGAGCTGCTTGTGACTGAACCTCTGCTTGCTGTGGTAGAGAAGGGGAGTACTTATTAACTTCATTCATTACATCAATGTCACAACTATTCAAGTGATCCATAATTTGCTATCAGCTAAGTCTGAATGAAAGATTACAGTTCAAGTTCAGACTAGTCCAAGGCCAAAAATGATTTCACAAGAAGAATCAACTTCAAGTACCAATCTCAACCCAATTACAAGCTCATTTCACAACCTAGAGGACATTAAATTAAAAACATGAAGGTGATTTACCCAAAATGCTGTCGGATCCATTCATGGAGGATGTGTGGCTATAACCCGCGGAGCCCGAATGGAAACCATTCACGTCCGCTCCATGCAAGGGATAGTTCTGTGGAGATAAACACAGTTATTGGAACTTCAGAATTGAGTCACAATTTAAGCCCTTCTCTAAAACCTTTGAAATTTTCAGAAGACATACCATTCTGTCTTGTGGGTTCATCGCAGAGAAGGAGCCTGGCTGACTGATGTGTGGCGAATTCCCCAGCATAGCCGTGTATCCCGACTGGCCTATGGATCCAGAGGGGGGCCAGGGGTCCGAAGAGGAGTGTAGGCCCTCTGCGAACACAAAGGCAGATGGGAATGATCAATAACAGTCAGCACAAGATCTTATGTGGACGTCTATTATAATCCAAAGAAACATCTGTCTTTGTGCATGCTACTAATTTCAAATCAAACAAACGAAACTACAAGATAACTGCTTAGTCATTCCTAATCTGTCTCCGTGAACAAGTTATATATACATTAATATTAGCATATATGGCTTGGGGAGATTGGGTTTTTAGATATGGAAAAGACAATTTTATTGCCCCATGTACATACCTTGCATGTAAAAAGATCCTGGGTACACAGAGCCAGGTTTGGAGCCTGGGTAGGCAGCACCATCCCGGATATAGTCATCACCAGAGGTGGCGGCATAAACCTGCGTTTAGAAACAAGGTACATGAAGGACATAAAGAACAACATTCATAGTAACAGGCTTCATATGGACAAAATAACCCTAGCAAATCGCTTGCACATGAATGCACAACTGATATGGAGCCCATGAAACTGGCAAGCGCATCATGATTTTCGGTACAAATGACGTGGACACGTGTTTCCATAGTGCCCCCTCAGATAAAGTGGCAGGGACAGAGGACAGAGCATGCTGGGAAATGCGCCACGGCCATCTCATGGCACAGTCGGCGCTTCCTCTCGCACTCCCATGAGCCAAAAAAGGAGAGGGAGGACAGCTACAGGGAGCACAACACTAAGAGTTAGTCCAAATCAAGCTAAGCACACTGGGTAATGACATATTCCATAACAGTGAAATGGAAAAAAAATAGATATTTGTACTGTTTATAATAGTAATACTAAAATTATCTGGAACCGATAAATGAAACTGAATGATGATCAGAAATTCATATGAATTCAGGAGACCCGAGGCATACCTCCATACAGCGTATTCCCCAACATGCACGTCTTAACACGTATGATTTGTATGTTTGTCTGTATGTGTGCATACATGAGCGAGTGTTTGGGAGGGAGGGAGGGAGGGGGCGCCGGCGGGCGGGGGGGTCTCGGGCCAGCGGAGAATACAAATCCAGCAAAGCGATATTTCTCTCTTGCCTGTAATTTGATTTAACAGGGAGAAGTGGGATGGGAATGGAGAGATGCACTTCTAATTACAGAGCCATCTGCCTACTCCTGGAGCCTGTCCAACTCCACAGGCAGCTGGGCTGAAGAGGGGAGGGGTGAGAACAGTGGGGGGAGAGGTCTTGCTGAAGAAGTGGTAGGAGTGGAGCAAAATAGACTGGTCGATTATGTAGAAACCACATAAAAGAACAAATAAGGGAGGGAAAAAAAAAACCTGCGAATGGCCCTCTTCTCTCAAGTTCACCAGGAAACATATCCTCACAATGATTTGTTGATCCACTTCAGAAGATCAAGGCAAGCCCAGACAAGTTAAGGATCAATATCCTTTAGTGCTTAGCCAAAGGTGGATTTAAACTTTGAATTTTTTTAAATATCCGAAAAGCATGCTAAAGGTAGCAGGTGAGCATTGGTGCAATCATTAGGGTAATATAATGCTGTGGCATGCACAAGAGGAAGTTATACTGAGCCGTAGAGTGGGATTCAGCAGGAGCTAGAACCCTAGCTCATCAGAAGCCATTAATCTGAGCTAAGACAAGCACGAGACGGAGGTGCAAGGGGACTCACAACTGGGTCACTTTGGAAGAGGGGGAGGATAAGGTCTAGCATGGGCAAATCTGAAGGATCGTGTTTGAGGAGGGGGTTTAGAGGGCAAAGTGTTGAGCTTATGTGGATTTAGACTAAGAAACAACAGTTCCTCTTCCCATGACTCAATAAAAGGGGTATGGCTCCTTGCATGTTTGTTCAAGTTAAAGGGTTAGTTCACCCAAAAATGAAAATTCTGTCATTAATTACTCACCCTCATGTCGTTCTAAACCCGTAAGACCTCCGTTCATCTTCGGTACACAAATTAAGATATTTTTGATGGAATCTGAGAGCTCTCTGACCCTCCCATAGACAGCAATGTAATTACCACGATCAAGGTCCAGAAACGTAGCAAGGAGATCGGTAAAATAATCTATGTGACATCAGGGGTTCAACCGTAATTTTCCGAAGCTACGAGAATACTTTTTGTATGCAAAGAAAACAAAAACAATGACTTTATTCAACAATTCGTCTCCTCCGTGTCACCCTGGTGCCATTTTGGAGAATATCCACTGAACGTAAACAGCGTATGCTATGCTATGCACGTGACGCAGCTGACATGAGGGTGAGTAATTAATGACAGAATTTTCATTTCTGGGTGAACTAACCCTTTAACGCTGATTTGCAATGGTCAAAGGTTCCGAAATATTGTGGACCTTAGTCATGGTAGACATCTTTTATTTTGGCGCAAATTAAAATACATAACCTGTTCAATCAAAAGTCTGTCAACTGTAATGTTTTTGGAAGGATGTGCCTTAAATGTTTTGTTCGCTAACCATTTGACACAACAGCAAAATATCTGAGGACATCTACCCCTCACAACCATGTTCTTGTTTGTTCACATCATATTAAAAATGTTTCTACTCTGAATGAGGTCTGGAACCTTCCTGCATAATTTATTACTAAAACATTTCCAGGCAGATGTGTTGAAAGGTGTTGGAGCTAAACTTTTGGACTAATGTCAAACCATTTCAGATGCCACAAATGGCTGCAACATCATGTAAGCAGGACTTTGCTTACTTAAAGGGTTCGTTCACCCAAAAATAAAAATTAGCCTGTGTTTTACTCACCTTCAAAGCATCCTATGTGTATGTGACTTTCTTCTTTCAGACGATTCCAATCGAAGTTATATTAAAAATTGTCCTGGCCCCTCCAAGCCTTTCAATGGGAGTAAGCGTGTGTTGGTTGTCAACAGTTCAGAAGACGTGAAATAATGTGCGCACATCCGTAATAAAACGTCCCTCACACGGCTCCGGGGCATGAACTGTCGTACGTGGAAAACATCCAGGAGGATGACGTAGACGTCGACGTTGCGTGATTAGTGATGAATGCGGAGACAGATCAAAACAAAACGCTGTCATAAATTAGAAGCACAAAACAAGGATTTGTAAATAAAAATGTCGGAGGATTTCAATATAAGTCGAGAGGAGACTGGTTTTCCTTTACTAAAGTAAGGAAACTTTGTTTCCTTTGCTCCTGCATTTCTCAGAGGCACGTGCACGACGCCTATGTCTTACGTCATCCACCTGCATGACTTCATGCATGTACCACAGTCAGCGGAAGTGAGAAAAAAATGTTTATTACATTTGAAATATGGATATTTATCTTACAAAAATGCATGGATTCCCTACAGGAGGCCTTTATTCGAGCCGTGTGAGGGGCATTTTATTACGGACGCGCACACTTTATTTCACATCTTCTGAGCTGTTGACAACCAACACCCGCTTACCCCCATTGAAAGGCTTGGAGGGGCCAGGACAATTTTTTAATATAACTCCGATTGGATTCATCTGAAAGAAGAAAGTCACATACACCTAGGATGCTTTGAGGGTAAGTAAAACACAGGCTAATTTTCATTTTTGGGTGCACTAAACCTTTAACATCTGTGTAATTCCTCACAATTCTGATCATTAAATTGAGGTTGTAATTAAATACTTTTATTGGGAAACAAGTAAGAATATTTCAGAAAATTCACTCACTGAAGATGGTAGTCCTGGCGGCTTCCTGATTTTTTTTGGTTGGGGATCTGTGAAAGAGATCAAAGCATACACAAAGGTACTCTTTCTTTCCATACCAACTGATCTGATGCAAGTCTAGTAAATGTTGTAAGTTATTTACCCATGCTTCCATCTGAGGGGCGTCTCCGGGGGTTGTTGGGGTATGACTGGTAAAACTGTGAGCCAGACTTCAGTCCGGATGGAGACATGGCATCTGCAGAAGGCATAGTGATGTCTGAGGGCAGGAACCCTGGCTATAAGGAACAACAAGATGGCGGATTTGAGTCAAAAGTTAGAGCATGATGTCAAGCAGGTGACTAAAGCACTTTCAGGAGTTACTCAAGACTTGATTCAACTGACCTGGCCCCCAAAGGAAGAGTAAGGACCCCTTTCATTCTTTCCTGCAAGTAAAAATAGTTGGCATTATGAGCAAATACATTTGAAATCTGAGTGAACCAATCTCACTCAACACTTCAAATAAAGTCCAAATGTTTGGAAGAAATCAGAAGTCAATGACACAACATGGAGGTTAAGAGTGAATCCGCTTGCTGAGGCCAAAGAGGAGCTCGACTACCCTGAGCAACTTCCAGGGCAACACATGGGGCAGTTTCTACATCGGCGGCTTTGAGATCAACCCACCAAACATTGGTAAAACTCACCACTAATTCCTGTGCCAAGGAATGGGGAAGATAGTCCATCGTGTTGATTGTAGTGTGAGCCTTCTCCATAGTTCTGGACAAACCAAGACAGAAGCAGGTCAAAACTATAAAACATGTCCCAACAACACCTTTAGACCACAAACAAGGCACAGGGTCTACCTCTACCTGGTTAAAAGAGGGACTGTTCTGCTCTCCAGCAGCCCAGGGAATACTACGTTCTTCCATACCTACAAAGCAAGTGATCACATACTGTCAGACCAATACTGCAATTTTGGCATGCACTAAATCTTCACATCAAGGCCCATTTTAATTCTCTTTTCATGCATTAAGGCCTTTGGACGTTTGGTGGCTGGTTCTGTGCTTGTCAGACAGCCTCTGGATCTCATCCAAAACCATCACACCACACTAATATCCATGTCATTCAGCAAGCCTCAACATCACTGACCATAAAGGGAGCATTCATTCAGTCACTGGATCATTAAGACAAGTTTGGGGGGGGGGGTATCACGGCAAGCAGAACAAAAACAGGCTGATCAAAGAATTGCGAAATTAGCATCATTTTACATTTGGGAGTGGACACCCATAGGGACAACACAGGTCTCAGCTCAAGACATACAGGATACGGAGTGTTAAATCCTCATTGCCATCAATATGCTTTATATGTAAAAAAAAAATGGATATTCAAAAACATTGCGGCAACAATTCAAAGTGTACTGGAGCAGAAATTCCTCATAAAGCATTCCCCTCTGCCTCCTGTCTTATGCCTTAATGCAATGCTCTCCAAAGACACATGGCTTAATTGCATGCTGATTTGCATAACTGTGCATATTAATGCAGTTGGTTTATGAATATTCATATTATCCTTTAGATTTATTTTTTTTTAGGTCTAATTAAAAATGTGTGAGAGAAGAGGGGGTCTCAGCCAGAGTGGCCACTGAAGGCTGAGCATGAGTGATGAAGCTAACAAAGCAGAGCAAATAGCGACATCCACGCTGACAGCAGTGATCTATGGAGCCCACGCAGACAGCATGGGAAATGAAGTGGGCACTGAGTGAGTGAGTGAAAGAATCTCCCTGGCAGAATCATCTTACGTGGGGAAAATGAAGTGGCAGAGATACAGATTCAGATGCAGAAGGACCAGATAAGATGTTTAACATGGGGAATGGTTTGGATTGGATCTGTCAAGACCGTTACAATGGTAGAATGTTTTTTTATGAATTACCATTTTTCCAAACTAAACTGGTGCTTTTTCTGGCAAATTAGTTTTTGTATATACAAAATGGCTTTATTTAAGGATACAATGTGATGTATATTTTGAATTATTGGCCACTTATTTGCTGGAAGCATCAAAATGCAATTCTACAAAGACAAATCTGACATTCAGTCATGCAGGAACTGATTTCATTGAAAGATAATTTCCTTTATACACTCCTTCAAATACATCAGCTACACAGCATGCCATTATTCAAGTTCAGATGGCAGCAGATATCAAAAGTGAAGCAATAACTTGAGGTGTGTGTGTAAATGTGCTCGCATTTCAAGGGTGTGACCAGGGGGGAAATGGGCTCTGTCCTGTCCTAACGCTGTCCTCAGTGGGTGATGTGTTGGGCAGCTGTGGAGGTGAGCGAGAGGACGCCTGGTGAAGTCCTCCCATGCAAAAAATCCCGCAAACACCATGGCTATGCCCAAGGAGGGGGAGGAGATGGCTTAATGCAATTAGCACCCTCCCAAGCACTTTTGTCTTGAGGAACAGATGCACTTCTGAAGGCCACTGCTTCCTTTAAACACGTCCTTACTTTGTGGATGGTCAGCTTGAATAGTAGAGGACAGTCAGAAGTTGGCCAACTCCTGGCCAATGGTTTAAAATTGAAAAGCAATCCAGTCCATGCAAAGAAGTCAAGATCACAGCTTTTGTTAATGTGCAATACTTTTTATGATCTTCAAGGAATGTTCTAGGTTCAATAAATGCCAAGCTCTATCAACAGCATTTGTGACGTTACCACAGAAAATAAAATGTCCTTTGTCCCTTAATTCTTTAAAAGTAAAATAAAATAGGAAAGGACAAGGCAATACAATAAATGTTAAAATACAAGGTTTTGAATGTACAGATTAGTTGGATAAATTGCAAATAATAAAAAAAACAACAATAGAGGGTTGAGTTAAAATAATTTTTTGTGGTAATTGAGAATATGTTCACAAACTATGCCGACATAGCTTAACATGTACTGAACTCATAATTCCTTTAAGAGTTTAAATGAATAACGCTGAGGAACTGTCCCTTGGACCTTTGCTTTTCAATAGCGAATCTACGGCCCCGTCCACACGGAGACGTGTTTAGCTGTATACGCATACATTTTGTATCGTATACGCTTTTCGTCCAGACGGATCTGGCGTTTTGGGAGAGTGAAACCGATATTTTTTGAAACCGGGTTCCAGAGTGGATAAATCTGAAAACGACACCCTTGCGTTTTTGTGTGTACAGCGAATCCGTATATTTTCTGTGATGATGATGTCATCAGCCCACGTCTCGCCCCTAGTCAGACACTGCTACATCACGTAACAGCAAAAAAAACATGAACAAACACTGAACGATTGTCTTTTTATTAACTAACATTAACACAGATTAATAACTGTATTGTTCCATGTTCGTTTGTCTACCGCGTGCAAGGTTTATGCACATAGTCCAAGTCTTCTTCTCCGTTTTTAGAGTATCTCTGTGGCAGAATTACAGCACCAGCCTGGTCTGGCATGTATACTACATCATTTTGTGTAAGTTTCGTGTGGACGCAGATATTTCTTGAGACGAGGGGGAAAAAAGGTAGGATAGGGAAAGCTCTGTCTTCGTGTGGACGTAGCCTAAGTACATGTCATAGCCTGTGATACAGAGTTCACAGGGTGAGGCTGATGTGGAGACCTTCTAGAAGCATCTCACAAGTGACAGATTTAACAGTCGGGGTCACCTCGGTGTCAGGTAGCTCTTGCAATAAAAATCTCAAACTGAGACATTAGCTTGGCCCTGCTATGTAACTGGCACTTTAGGCTGCCACAGACCGAGAGTGAAGCTGGTGATCTTTCGCAGTGTTTCTTTTGCTGTTTTCATGTGGGCCTCCTGCGGGGTGGTGGGAGGTATGAGAGAGCTTTGTTTCAGAGAGTCCATTTCCTGTCAGTTGGCAGGGGGAGAAAGTGTTTTCTTGTGTGGGGGGAGGAGTGTTTCACACAGTGGGGTGGGGGAATCATTTGGAGACCGTAAGGCCTTTATTTAAGTCTTTGTTCTCATATTGTTCTTATTCAAGGCTAATGTTTGGAGTGTCGATTGGGAGACAGACAGACAGACAGACAGACAGACTGGAAAGACTTTAAGAGAAATGCATGGATCGTTCATGCCTTTGACAGCTTCTGAAACAATCTTAACTGGAGCAACACAAGCCAACAATGGTCACATAAATAACACTTTTGTGAGTGTGATATGCAACTAGTTATAAAGTAAATAATGGCAAACATATAAACAAAGCAAAAAAACATACTTTTTAAATGACAAAGCGATGTTCTGGACACAAACATGATTATGCAGAGCAATCCAACCTAATCAGTCACTCCTCTTGACCTAACAAAGTTTCTACGATGTACAAGTTTGTGCAATAGGTGCTTCAACTGAACAACCAGTTCAAAGGGATCCAAACTGCCCCAAGCTTTGACTCTATACTACGGTGAATTCATAAAAGAGGGGGTTTAGGAAAACAAGAAGAAGCATGTCCTCTTCTTCTGTTGAGAGGAACGAGCACTTAGCAACTGGCCCAAACATCTCCACTGCTATAAAGAGCACTGCTTTAAACTTATGAAATGCACAAATATGGTAAATTCAAGCAATATGTGACATTCCTCTCTAAACGGGAAAAGGCATGTGTTTAGACTTACCTGAACCACTAAATTGACTGCTAGCAAGTGTGGTTGGTCTGTTCTTCCCATTAGCCACAGGAGGTGCAAACATCTATGGCAGAAAAATAAGAAGCAGAACTCAAGTTTAAGCATAGTAGCATATCACGACAAACTCACATCAACAGGTGTCCACAGACAGCGATTTTTCAGGGGATTCACGCTATGTGACGTCAAGCTTACCTCGTTCAAAAGTTTAATGGTACATTCACATGGGGCGTCGGTGCTTGATGGAGGGCATTTCTGAAGCTTGGTGCTGGTGCGACCGTCATAGTGACAACAACCAATCACATTAGTTTTCTGGTGTTGCATGATCGCAATTGGCTAGCGTCTGCACCAGGGTATTTGCATAAGGCGATCTGATTGGCTGACGCCTGCGTTGGCGCATGAAAAGTTGAAAAGTTTTCAACTTCTGCTGCGAGCAAAGGACCCGACGCGACGCAACGGACCCACAATTCAGTTCGGCAACGCTTGACGTCACTCCATTCAAAGTAAACGAGAGTCGTTGACGCCGAGGCCCCGTGTGAATGGGGTGTAATGCTAAAGGTCACGTCAATTTTTGCAGATACAATCTGAAAGAAACACTTTCTCACAAAGTAGTATGGCTCTTTGAAGAAGCATCTTGTCTTGTACTACAAAGAATTCAGGGTTTCACGGAAAGGACAGAAGAGGACCCGTTTACATGGACGGATGATGTCTCTTTGTTTTTGAAGTGCAAAGAGAAACCCATAAGCAGCAACAGTGCTGGCCTTGCATGGTGCATGAGAGGGACTTTCTGGTGTGGTAGACATTTTTCACAATGTGAAACACCTTTTACACAATAAGAAAGAAGATACCAAACGCATAATCTGCAAATCCTTTGGTTTTTGACAAAGGTTCAAGGCTGGAAAATGAATGCGATATGAGGGAGTAACTAAACCATCAACAATTTGTAATTAGATGTGAGATCATAATGCATTTGTTCCGTCACGTCTGATTATCAATGTATTGTCTTAATTGATTAGCTGCTTCAGTAGATGGCAATTTTCCAATGCAATAAATTAAGCATGGTCAAGTCATTCAATGAATCAAGCGATTAACATTTTTATATTCCCTATTTTTTTAATGCTATTTAGGATAGCATGACCGCCAAGAATAATCACATTTTAACAACAGGTGAAATGAGAATAATAAATGGAAGGATAAGGATAAGAGAGGATTGAGTGATGGTTATTATGCTGGAGATGTTTCAAATGGCAAACCACACTTCTCAGGAACTAACTGGAGATTGCACATGATTTAAAGATTCATTATAATGTTTATAGCCACCAACAACACAGCAGGCATTGTGACATGAGATTCGATCAGTTTGAAGTGGTATGAAGAAAAACTGCTATCCTCTGACTACAAGGTCAGATTTAGTCAAAGTGAATTAGGAATCATAAAATGATTCTTTACGAGAGAGCGTTTTTGTCCAGACTAATAACAAAGACTCCATACTCTCTTCCTTACCGCACTGAAATCCAACAGGTCACTGAGTTCTTTATCTGTTCCCACTGTAGCCATTCTCTGGTGAGGCTCGTTCATACCCCTCTGTCTTTAAAGCACCCTGCAGGAGAAAGCCAGAGAGAGAGACACAGCTGAGGTGAGCTGTCTAAAGACCAGAATGAGAAAATCAGTGATGAAAGTCGAGTGTCCTCATATGAAATGGTAGATATAAATGAAAATGTGTCGTACTTATATATATGTATAATATACATATCTCTTAAAGAGTATATTACCAAAAATACAAATGAAAAATGAGACTCATTTTTAATTAACTAACTATGAATCGCTTCAGGAGGTTTCACAAACAACCACTGCCAAGTTATTATCTTTGTCCAAGATTTTAATCGTAAATCTAAAACTTGCCTGATAATTAATTTGGCCAAAGTCATCCTGTATGTTTTACACACTACAATTAGTCTTGTGCTACAATGAAACAGCCAAAAAAGCATTACAGGACAAACATTTTGTTTTCAAAGAGCCAGTCCTTCTATAACATCAGTCAATCTTATTATTAATATTGTTGTGTTATGCAACATCAGCACAGCAATGAAACTAAATGCAATCACCAGTCAATAAGTTTCCATGAAACCATGATATCAGTACATGGAACATGCAAATCAATGTTCTTAACTTATTGTACATCTCTGTTCTGTGTATGATTTATAGTTATCTGGCCAGTTGATTTGCATAAAAGGAGACCATCAAACAAGGCGGGAAAATTTTATACAACCACCAACTGCAGTAAAATGTTTTAAAAGTTGCTATTTTACTAAAATACAAGGAAACTGCCAAATATTGGTAAATGATAAACTTTTTCTCAAAAACATCCTGTATGCTATTTGCAAACAGGTGGTGTGCTTTAACAGTCCTGCTTATTAACCATTAGTTTCTCTTTAGTGGTCTGATTATAACACCATTACAAGCCAATGGCTAAAAAAAAGTGTTTTTACACCTTGCAAGTACAGTACATATTATTCACACTGCTTTTTCAACTCCCAAACAAAAACAGCTAAATGAAAACATACAGAATGTGGCCCCTTAGTAAAAAGACAAGAAAGATAGTAACAGAGGGCCCAAATCCCCCTCAAGCCTTTGCCAGCCAAAACAAAGCCAAAACACTGGTAAAAAAATATATCAGTATACTAGCATATTTCCATGTAAAATGTAACAAACTTCTCAGATACGAGAGACATGGAGCGATTGTAACTGGTATAAACAGCCCTGGTTATCGAATGAGGTGAAGGCCATTTAGTAGCCTATTAGGGTTGGGAATCGAGATCCGGTTCTTTTTTATATTAAAAAAAACGGAAGCGAATTATTTATGATGTACAATTAATTTAGCACTTTTTGATCATGCAGACCACGGTGATCTGACAGCATTTCTTATTATTCATTTTATCTAGAGCATCAAACATACAGCGCGACCAGTCTAATCCGATTCCTGAACGAGTGACTCTAGGAGTCGATTCTTTTAAGTGACTCATAAAATACAGTACCACCAGTGCAATTCGATTTCCGAACGAATGATTCTTATGAACCGGTTCTGTATAGTGGATCGAAAACACATATGAATCAGTCGGAGCTGTTAATGAATTACTCGAACTCACTTACTTAACCCCTAGTTATTTATTTTGTTAAGTCTGATTTGAAATAAAACAATCATTTAAATAAACATAATTAATGACTGGTTGTTCGTATGACAACGTGCAAATAAGATAAGGCCTACACATCATGTAGGTATATTCTAGGCTATATAAATAATGAATGAAACCGGTTACCACCTTTTTGTTTGTTTGCCATTTGCATTAAAATTAAAGCCAGTTTCATGATGCATTCATGAGAGCTCTAAAAGTCTGTAAATAAACACCTATGCGAAAGATGTACATTTATTTATGTCGGTTCTGCTGAAATCTGAAATGGTCGCATAATTTGCCCCCCAAAAAACAAAAAACTACCTAAGGCTGCAAATGCAATAAACATGTTTTCCGGATATTATTTAATAACTCATTAAAATCGCCAAGAAATGATTATGAGAAGAACTGGAGCAGAATAGTTAAATTCCTTACAATTTCCATCCCTAACGGTAAAGGTCTATCTCTCTCTCTCTCTCTCTCACACACACACACACACACACACACACACTACCTAAGGCTGCAAATGCAATAAACATGTTTTCCAGATATTATTTAATAACTCATTAAAATCGCCAAGAAATGATTATGAGAAGAACTGGAGCAGAATAGTTAAATTCCTTACAATTTCCATCCCTAACGGTAAAGGTCTATCTCTCTCTCTCTCTCTCTCTCTCTCTCTCACACACACACACACACACACACACACACACACACACACACACGACAAAGAGAAATGAATAAGGGGACACTAAAAACAAGTGCAAACACGAGTTTTAAAACGTATTTCGTAGTTAAAAGGTAAATAGTATCTTTAGTCCAGTATCACTGCCTCCATTGGTGGTTGGTTAGTTGTAAGAGAGAGCGCAACAGTGTTACCACTAACCACAAATTTAATGTAGGCTACCCGAACAAAATCCACGTTATGAATAAAAATGTGTAAAATACATATACATATATATGTCTATTTTAAAACCCATCTCAATTGTTGAATGTGCAGACACGTTTAAACTAGAGTGCAGTCACGTCCCTTTCTTTGTGTAACTAGGACTAAGCTTCATCCAGACATGAACAATGTCAATATTTATTCTCAGCTGTAAACTTATTGTATTCCGATAGCTTAACCATTTCGAAAACAGATAGGCCACATTGATCGCGAGCACGTACTTTTGATAAGAGCGGCATTATTATCAATATATTAACCAGCCGTAGAGCCGACAATCTCAATTATTCATGTGTTGTGAGATAAATGTACAAGCTTGGCTGGGGATTAAGCCAAAGTTAATAAAAGTACCGCTACAAAATGTCAACTTTTCCTCAAGAGACTCGCGAGTGGGGGTGGGGGGCGAGGTATTTCCTGCCAAAAAATATTCGACTAAGTAACTGAATTATCCAAAGGTTTTTACGAAAAGCAAACCTGGATACAACACACTTCAACCCGGTGCTTAAGTTCAGTAGAAAATTGTACATTTGAACAAGTTAAAGTAACTTTCAGCCATTAGTTATTTGTAATTTAAATGTGCACTGACAGCTCGCTCTTAGCTAGTCACTTAAACTCATAAGCGCCCCACAAAACTAATCCTTACTTTGATAAAAGGACAAAGGAGTCATTTCTGTAAGGATAGAACTGGGTTAAAGACCACCAGCACAAAACTGGGCAGGACTTCCCACCAACACCACAGCCTCTAAGCAAGAAAAATACTGCATCCCCCCACTTTCATAAGCACACATCCCTAAAACTTGCTAAATGGAACTTCAATATGCAATTATGTGATTTCTATGATGTAAATATGAGACTAAAATAATTCAACTCAGTAACGCAGCAAAATACGACAAAAGGCAATAAGCTTTACCTCTGTTTATAAGTTGTTTTACATCCAGCAGTAAAAAGAAAGGTTGAATCTCGTAGGGAAAAACCATAAAACTTGAAAGAATTTGAAGCACGGCGCATTTAAGGCTGATAGGCGCAACAATGTGTGTTATTCCTCCTTTGACATCCTCCTACAAAACACCAACGTCATAAATACAATGTTGCGGGTCTGTATCCAAACAATCCCGCGCCACGACTTCCTTTATGTTGTTACAATTGAGGTGAATTCATTCTTCTAGTAGACATCTTGACCACCTCCATCCACATTGTGAGCAGCAACAATGTATTCCTCCGCATGGAAAGAGGGGCCTCAAACGCTCGGGTGTCTAGTTTCATGTGCCCAGGGGAGTCAAGAGTTTTTTCGACAAGGTCTACCGATTAAAAAAACACGGATTGGTCAGAACGCGCAGAATGGTTGTTAATCATTATTCAGACAAGATTTAATAGGTGTAGTTTAAGGGGAAAATAATTGAAAATAGGAACTATAATATCCGGCGGAGGTTGATGGTAGAAAAGTAAGCGGCATTTATACAAAAGCAGCAAGAGATGGAGAGATAACCCCGCATGCTAGTAGCCAATAGAAAGGCGACAGAAAGTGACAGGCAGTTGGAATGTCCAATGGCCACACGTATAGTCACTCCAGACCCGCCCCTTTCATGACGACATTGTGTGTTCAGTGAGGCTGACTGAAGGGGCTAGAGCGCAGCCTGCGTGACATCATTTTATTAGTCTGGTTAATGTCGGCGCCCGCGCGTTGTATCGCTACTTTGGCTAAAAACTCTCGTAAAAGAGTATTCACAGTTGGACGCATAAACGTTAGGAATATTACTTTTTTATTTGTTTACTTAACCCATTTCTGTTAGAATTCTTTCATTTGGTTTGGCTACTCGCCAACGGTAACATTCAAACAGACTTTAATATCCTTCAGTTTGAATGAAAAAACACTAAGTTCACATTGGGGGCTTAGTGACTACTAGTTAGTTTGTAGCTGAATCTGTACTTGATTTGGTCACACCATTTGTTCTTAAGCTAAGACTTTGCTAAGGTAAGTTCTTTAACATCTGCCTTTATTGTTCTAATAAGAAGCCTTCAAACAGAAGTAGTGATTACTTTGCATTTCAGTATCCAGTTAAAAGTTGATATTTAAAAAAATTTTGCCTCACGTGACTGTTAACAGTAATGAATTACATTTTTGTCTAAATATATTACATAAATAACCATATCATATATTACATTTAACATTCGTGAGCAGTATTATTCAGTGGCTACCATACAAATAGCCTATATGTACAATTTACACTACCAACTAACTATGCAACTTTGCAAAGAACATTATTTGGTGTAATGAAATGTGTTTATGTGGTTTAAGGTAAAAAAAAAAACACATTATTTTCCACATACTGTACATTATTGTTTCTCCTTTAT